GTAATCATCTAAAAAATATGCTAATAAAGTAAGTCGAGCTATTGAAATCTCCGATGTCTATCAAAAAGCCTCACAGCGATTGGAGTGCTTTTAAAGAGAATATATCAACTAACACATCCCTGTACAATAATGCCAATTTCCTCCCACGCGCTATCAGTATACATTTGTAGATCATCAAATCATCCTCGTTATCATTTGTGACGGGGACTGGCGGCTCTTTTACTGTTTGATTATTTTCACATCAACTGACCATCCTTCAAGATTAGGTATTCACTGTCCTGGCTCATGGAATGAATTGTAATACCCTGGACCAAGGATCAAACTGAAAGCCCCGAAGAAATATCAGAATTTAGAGACCATTAAAGAAAATCACCCGTGTCTTCACATTAGCTGGCAACCCTAACAATGTTAGGTGGTATAAAACGAAATTACATGACAAACGAAACTGTTAAATTGATACTAGTTGGGCACTGGTAGTTTGGTTGATAAACATCGAAAAGTGTAATCAGAATGAATAACCTTGATTATGTCCCTCGAGAGTTAAATTCAAGATCATGAACACGGGATGAATAAGACCGAGAAATAACTACTCAAAACTTTGATTATACCCTCTGTGGTCTTGATAATTCCCTGTTCAGATTATCCTTTGGAATCTAGTATAGTATATTGTGTGATCCCTGTTATTCCTGAGGAATATATTCTATCCAATTCTAAACTATTATTCTTCAGCATTTTATTGACCTCAGAATGAAAGAAATGTTCTCATAATGAGAAATCATGATTTCATGAATCCTGATATAGTTCCTTTCTATAAAGCTGTTTGAAAGATGGGATGAGTATCAGAATGAAAGGAGCACGTAGGTTATCGCAAACAATTTCAGGTTATATCTTGGATTATGACTATTTTCTGACAATGAAGACAGGTTCATCTTTTAGATCAATTCATTATCTCAAAGAAAATGATGTACAGTAATATTAACGTCAAACAAACTCGGAGATATTTAACTAGCAATCAACCCACCAACACACGTTTTCAAAGATGTTGACCCCATTTTCACCAAAAATGCAATCATTTTTTACAATGTTTAATGCATTACTATTCTTATTTTTGATGTCTCAATTCCCCATGTTATTTCTCCATTGAAAAATCTCATGCTATCCATTGGTTTCAGTTCATTTTGGTCATCCAAATTCAGTATCTTTAAAGTCCCCGGAGCAATCAACTTTTCCTTTTAGGAAATCGAACATGTCTCATCAAAGCACATTCTAATTATGTATTCAACAATATAATAAAAGGTTGCATTTTTGGTGAAAATTAGGTCAACATTTTTGAAAAAGTACATGTTGATTGGTCCATTGCCCCTTCAACATCACTTAGGTCTGATTAACTAAATTATCATTATATATACTTTTCTTGAAGATAATGAATGGATCTAAAAGATACACCCATGTTCATGATCAGAAAACATTCATAATTCAAGTTAGAATCGTTTGAAATTGTTTGCGATAACTCACGTGCTCTTTTGTCGTGGTCTTATGGTTTTGGAATATTGGAGGTTTGTTTCCATTCAGGCTTGTGACTTGTAGATGTTTCCTTTTCTTGTTGTTCTTTTGTTATAGTACACTAGTATTTTTTGGTCGTTTCCCTCTTGTTACTACTACTTACATATCTTTGTAATTCTCAAGGATACGCAATGGGACATAAATAGAGATTCGGGATAATCTAATACGAGGTTAAGGATAATGGGATTGTCCTGAGGCAAATAAATTGGGGAACGGAGACACTTAGACAGGGATATGATCAATGTTTAACTTGTCTCAATTTAGAAAATTGAATGGCCCTAAAAATTACTGAACTTCCGGTAGCTCTCATTCGGAAATCACCGGAGATTTGAACGCTACTTCGTAAATTTCCGACGAAAGAGCCATTTTGATTTCTCGCTAGAAAACTGCTCGACATAGAAGCAGCTGATAACTCAGTCTGGCTCCACTATACAGACTTTCGCAAACAAAGGACGAAAATGTAGGGAACATTTTGGAGATATATGTTCTATCAGATCAGAAAGCCGGCCTTTGAAAGAGGCTAAGACATAATATTTCAACAGATGCTGATCACGTTGTTAAATTGGCCACGATCACAGTGAATGCTAATTTGCAGGGCAAAGGTGAGAATATCTGTGTTTTTAGTTAACTTCGTATATTACTCATTTAGAGTCAATTTTACTTGAATTAGGGTACTTCTAATAAGTTTTTGGCGAAATAAATAGGAATAAAACCGTATAATGAACTTGTCTTTAGATTTCTTCCAATTCGCTCATGGCTCAGATACAGACGTATGGACGGCCTAGCTAGGCGTCAGATGGTTTTTCTTTGTTTAATTCAATTAAACTGATCAAATCAAAAAATATTAAAATGGGAAACGATATTATCCATAGTATGGATGGATCGGTCGACTTTGATGGTGAGTTAATACTAAGCTGTAACACTGATGCAAATTATCCTTTTCATCATTTGCAACAGCTCTATTACTTTCCAATAAAGTATTTCCACATTAACTGACAGCCTTGACAACCTTGTGTCGAAGAAAGATCAGAATTTAGAGACCATTAAAGAAAATCACCTGTATCTTCACATTAGCTGGCAAACCTAACAATGTTAGGTGGTATAAAACGAAATTACATGACAAACGAAACTGTTAAATTGATAGTGGGGTGGATAAACATCGCAAGGTGTAATCAGAATGAATAGCCCTGATTAATCTCTTTAAAATTACTTTGAGTTAATTCAAGATCATGAATTAGACCGAGAAATAACTACTCAAAACACATCGATTACACGTAACACTCGAGTCTCTTGAGATCTCTTGATAATTCTATATTCAGGCCGTGTCATTGTGTACACAGTGAATTAATATCATGTATACTGTATAATATTTGACTGTTTTAGGGTTTTGAATATCATTGGGTTGTCGCATACTCGTTTCCCAGTTTGGTTTTCAATCAAAAACATCATACCTATAAGAAATCCAAAATGTGGTTGTCGAGCTACACAAATATTTATGTTACATCTACTATTGCGTTGACATAGGCTTGTAAACGTACAGGGTGGGCAAAAAAACATCCACATTTTATTTCGATTTTTTAAAAATGCATGGATTTTGATAAATTGTTCGCAAGGGATGCAGGAATCACTTTTGCAATTGTTTCTCGAAATGGAATATACTTTATTTTCTCCCAGAATTCGACCTTCCATTTCCGTTTTTCTTGTTGAACAAGTCCATCTTATCGTGCTTCTCAATACTCTACCAATGCTTTAATTTTTATCAGAAATATAAATCACAACAGTGTAAGTGTAAACTATTTTAAACTAAACTGTAAGCACCATACAAAACAGTCTCTCTGACTGACTGTATAAGATGTCAATCTGGTGCATGACAAAATGTGCTTTACATATTATCCTCACAGTTGTAAATTTTCAATTAGACCCTTGGTGTCTTTTTTTACTTAGAAACCACTCGAGGTTCATTTATCCTGTTTTAGCAACAATTGCAGGAGTTTCCATATTTCCGTTTTCGTGAGATTTTAAGAGAACCCTCAATGACTAACATTTCCTTCTTTTTAATAGCATATTTGAATTCAGTGATAAGTAGTTCACACCAATAACTGTGATACGGTTTTGTTATTTAAATCATTTTTCATGACTTTCAACAAATAAGTGTGGGCCCAAATCTCCATTGATGCAATGTTAAAATTCTTTAAAATCTTGGTTTATTCGTTCGACAACTAAAATTGATCACAATGTAGTGACATCTATTGATTCAACTTTATTCAGCTATATAGCAACGCCCTTATTGATTTCTGCAACTCCAGCTCTATATTTGAATTATTTGCATTATTAAAAACAGTATCACCAAATAGAAATATGGACGTTTTTTTGGCCCACCCTGTATATACTTATATATACATAATGATTACTCATCGTCATCGACAGGTTTCTCATAACAGATAATATAACACGGAAGACACGATGACATTCACCATGCAGGTAATTGGCAGTATATACGAAGGGGTTTAAGATGACGGCCATGGAGTTATCAAATATGAAACCAAGGCACGATATTAATCATTCAGAGTGGTCTCACCCGTGGTGTTTTGTTGGCAATAACCAATACGGCCAAATCGGTAATTAATCGTCTCTATTTCCCATCTTTCTGATGTCGTATCATGGTCTCTATTGATATTGAATGAATAATTCAATTCGTGCGATTTAACAAAATAAAGTCAGTCAAGGGTGTTAATTTGTTCTATCAAGATGAGAATCTAGTCAATATAATGGGATTACGCCAAGTCTCTAACATAAACTAATCAATTGCATCTAGAATGATGAGGAAAAACTACCTGACCTTGCAATCATCGCACTTTCTTCAGTACGTTGAGACAATTTTCACAAACTGGGATAATTTTGGGGGGTGAATTGTGAGTTTAATGCTTGTCATGATTTCCGTTTGCATTCTGATTTTCATCGCATTTTACTGATTTCCAAACATGTTTTAATCAAAGAATTGCTTGAAGTGTGATTTTTGGTCAGAGGAGTGCCGGTTTTCAATGTATGTGCCGTGGTGTATTTAGTTCTGCGCGGGGCTGTGTTGCCAACGTTGCCCTTCGCAACAACTGATTTATATTTGTTCAATTCATACTTATTCAATCAAAAAAACGTTAAATACAACCAGATTTTTAACGTATCTCTTTAAGAACATGGGCTGGTAATCATGGTTCTCTAAAAACTTCGTCAAATAAGTAGCGCATTATTTATGCAAATTGCTGGTCAATCGTCAATAAAATCGAGAGTATTAAGAGTCTTTTAGAGATAACACACGCTACCTTTATCTCGTTTTATTAGCGGAACTATGTACGGAATTACACAAAGATAATAAAACTGAGATGTTTGACACAAGGTGAAATTCACATGAAAATACGAAAGAAAATTATATAAACACTTACCTGAATTTAGGGGAGCGGAATAGGATAGATAAGCAACTGCAAAGAATGTGGCTATCGTTAGTCCTGGTGCGCGCATCTTTCGCTTTTCCTCCTCTGCTAGTTCAGCTTAGATTCCTCTTTTAATCGAAGACCGCCCTTATTATTAGTTTCTTAAATATATCCTTTGAATTGACTATTATTTGTTCAAGCAGTCTTATATACAAGTTTAGAAAGATAATTCAAGAGACGCAGTACCAAGTTCCTTGCGTTTCGTTGCTGTCTTTTATTCTGATAAGCTTCGATGTAACTGCGTGACGCTATATGACATCGACTTATTAACACTCTCTTGCCAGAACCAATCAGTTCTCACAACCCACGATACTCGACTAAACTACTAATTTGGACGAAACAAATATGATACAATATAGAGCTTATATACAGGGTGAAGCAAAAAATATTGGAACATTTTGATTTTTACAGCTTTTTAATTCAATTACAAGTACATCAACCAAAATTTGGGCCAAAATTTAGCTATTTGATTTTAACTTGCCACCGGTATGATTTGTTTATTGGGTATGTCATGAAAATTTTCACACAAGTCACTATTAAGAATACCCCTGGACAAATGATCCGATGAGCACTAATCCCTAATTTCCCTTTCAAAATGTAAAGTACATATTCTCATATATATTACATTAAGATCTTTACATAAGATCCAATCAAGAAGTGCCACGCCCACTATTGTCCAATATTGACACACTCTGGGCCTCTTGATCCGAAAAAAACACATTAAGTTATATAATACCCTTTGTTACCCTTTAAAATCTCAGAAAACTAGTATATATTTGAAAAAACGTTAATTGATATTTTTAAATGTTAAAGCTCCTTGTTTCACATAGTTTCAAGTGCTCCAACTTCACTAGGTGTGTTGTAACAACCATAGGAAGTCGAAGATGACTTAATCAGTTTATTCCTAAAATAGTGATAGTGTGGGAGTTTACCTGTGTTGTATTTCGCTGTGTGGTGTAACTATTGTGTTTTTATGATTTGTTATTTGATACCCTGCGTGCAGAGTCTAGTTAAACTACACAAAGCTCTCTTTTAAGAAGTTAAGTCAAACGAATGCAAAGGGTAGTTATTTGAGGATATGTTTGTTAATTGATAATGTAACAAAAACTATGATTTATGAATTTTCTTCATTTCAATAATGTTTTACAATGCTATTCGAGATGGATATAATAACACAATATTTTGATATTCTTTGAGTTCAACTTTGGGGTCTGGTCAGTCCCCTGGGTTTAGTCTTTCGAATTTTCGGTTCCAAATCGTTGAAAATTACATTTAACGTCTATTGTCCCTATCCTATAATAAGTAGTTAATAGTCCCTTTGTTTCATAATCGACATGTAAGATGTAAAGGTAAGGACACCATCAGACGTAATCAATTACGTATATGAACGTATGTCATCTAAGGTATGATGACAACTTGAATTCATTAAGGTGCAACAATTAGTTCAAGGGGGGGGGGCATTCAGCGATCATCGACCAGTGACAAAATATATTTAAGCTTTGGATATTTCATCAAGACTAAAATATGTTTTTATTATCTACAAAGAAGCCCCCTGGCCGAACATTATTTCAGCTAATATTCCTCTTGAAACGTGGTGAATCTTACAAATCTATAAGTGGGACTCCTTTTATAGAAGCTTTGAACTAAATTTACACCTCTTAATGCTGAAATTGATAGTTTATCCATACATTTTAAGAAAATAGGAATGTCAAAGAAGATGTTAAGCCAATTATTGACCTGAAAGCTCAGGAAAAAATTCAAATTTTCTCTCTACATTCCTTGTTGCCCCTTTAAAATGTATGTCATGCACTCGGCTTTCAAAGATACGTTGCATGTTCCTGCCCAAGCAGCAGGCATCTTACAAATCAGCATGATATAAATGTCATAAGGAATTAGAAGCAGGTGAAACCTGGTGAAACATGGCCATTGGCTCGGAAGAAAAAATTGAGTTCCAAGGAAATATACATAATACCCGGAGCCTCATTGAAGCAGTGAAACTGATAGCGAATAACAACACTACTAAACTTGTGTGCTTTTGTCAATTGATTCTGACCGGTGATCCTCTACCGATCACCAGTCGCATACCAGAAGGAAACGTTCAAAACACACGGATCAACAAACGGAAAAATTGTCCTGCTTTAAATGAAAGAAGAGTGTCCAATACTGACTTGGGCACGTTTAAGCAAAAATCGTTCTTAAAACTATTACCAAATACTTGTTTATCAAGTCCACATCTGATTAGGTGAAATACTTTAATCCTAAAGCAAGCATTTTACGACAAAATTGCACTCTGCACCATCAATAGCTGGCAGGTTAGAATGGTAATAATCGTCAAATAGTTAGTTAAATGGGTATTCATGTCTATTGTCGAAAGTGTTTCGAGGAAATGGTACACATGGGAGTTGGTAGACGTACAAAGTAAGTATCATTAGTCATCAGAAACTAATGAAACGTGATTTTTCTAACTTAGCTGACTTTTGCATTTCATAAAACCTAGATAAAATGTGACCTCATATTTTACCGTTGGGAAACACTCCTCTTCAAGAGTTTGGCAATTGGAAGCTTTAAACACCATCGGTTGCAGTACTCACTCATTGACTGAGTACTCACAGTTCATGCAGTACTCACTCAACTTATTGAGTGAGTACTGCATGAACTCAGACCATATATATTTCAATGATAACGAATATATGCTTTGTCCGTTTTGTCCCAACTTGTCCGCTCTTGTCCCCTGGGCATCATGGGACAATGTCCCATGTTGTCCCATTTTGTTCAATGATGTCTGGAATATAGCGCCATTTTGTCAGAAAATTGTCATATGATCAACATGTGATGAAATGCCCCTCATTTGTCCGATAATATTCCTAGAAAAGAAACAACGTGTCCATTCTTTTCTTGGGACAAAGGGGACAAAATTGGACAACTTGGGACAATGTCCCGGGGACAACTTGGGACAAAAAGGACAACTTGGGACAATGTCCCCCGATGTCCCAAGAATGTCCCATGGGAATGTCCGACCTTGTCCCTTCATATCTTAAAGCTATAGCTTCCTTAAAGCATTTGAAGTTCTGGGCAAGCATCTTGAGACCCTAGGATCCATATGTTTTGGCTTCGTCAGTCAGGCCTTGCACTTAACTGGGTATTGGTCATTCATATCAGTCTTTATATATATATATATATCTTTTATTGGTATTTATTTTATTTTATTGTGTAAGGGTGTCAAACAGAAGTTTTTTTTCTGTTGTATTTTTCTTCCACATCATGATAAAGCGTTGTTCATCTTCTAAAATACCACACGCATTATATAAACGTTCATCCAAAGGTCTTGGCTTCGGCTTCAAATGACGACCAATTTCTATATGTAATTTGTGAGAACTAAGCCTAAATCTACCAATTGCTTGTCTGTATATCTTGTATATTTAAATAACCCTCTCTTTCAAAGACATTTTTGAATGTTATGTAAGTTCTTAAAACAGGATATTTGAAAATATATGGTGAGTGCCTGTTATGGTGAGTGTCTGTTACAGTTACTTCATGATCTGGACATAGTGTTATATTTTTATCCACATTCTTATTCTTAATCCATCAACCGCCAAACAGAAAGCTGCTTTCACACTGTGTTTTAGTGGAGATGATATTGTGAAGAAACTCGATACTGACTACAAAGGGGATTCATTTATTGTGCGGATAAACCTCGGATTAAGACAGATGTGATTTAACCAACGTAATTAGTAGTGCTCGCAACTCGGTGGTTTCGAGGTATGATGTAATTGGACTATAGACATTTAATAAGTTTGAGATTTATTCTGAATAAACATGACTGAAGGATAAATGATCATGATCTTTATAGGGGGGAATCTTGTTTCTATACATCACGATCTCGTTATAGCTTAACTAAAGAAGACGCGAATATCACACTCTCTCCACCATCTTGATTTGGTATTAATATGCACTGTGGTAGTCAGGCTTAGAGCCGTAAAAATGCAGTAAAAAGTCAAATGGGAAGACATATTACGAACATCGAACACCATTTCAACAATTTCATTTTCAAAGGTGTTCTTTAGTTTGATCTTAAATAACCAAAAAGCGTCTCATATAATAACTCAGCTCAGACTAGACGGAAAATGGTCGGATGGGTTTCGCTATTGGCAGTGAAACCACATTGGGTATGGTTAAAGCGCTGGCCATGGCTATGATATTGCCTAAAATCTGAAAATACTACTATAATATATCTACATTCAAATATCAAAAAAGACACTTCTACTCCGCCATATTAATGCAAAGGTAACGGACGTTATGTTCACTTGATACTGACCAGTAACCCAATTGTCATACCTTGTCAAAGTAACGACATGTCTTTATAAAACACGCCCAGAGAAAATGTTCACATAATGGTGAAAATTGTGCGAAGGCCAATCTAGCAAACCCTAAAATTGAATTAGTACTTGGGAAATTCAATATATGTGTGACACTTACATCCGAAGAAACGAACGCCAATGTCGAAATACAATTTACATTTATATAAAAATCGTAACCATTTTTAACAGGGAAATGATTGATTCATGCTATTTTTACATCTCTAATTCCCTTAGTGCCATTTTTGTTTTAAGTCCTTCGCACGTTCTACGATCAACACCAACTAAGAGAGCTTGCCCTAAATTGCTAGAGGATGGCTTTGTCTAGTTACAGATACTGACTCTAGAAAACACGATGAACCCTTAATTTAATCAAATCAAATTTTTTTAGTCAGAAAATGACCATCCAGAGTGGTTACCGTATTTTGTAACATATTCATTTAATGTTGAAACTCACATGAACGACACAGGTAGCTTTTGAAATATCAGCATAAAATTGTTAAAATAATTTGTAATTGTTAGAGGATAGCACGGCAACTCCTTATCGATGGAGTTCATGGTAAACGGAACTAAATTAGATCAGAGAGATCTGGATATTATTGTCATTGATGTAATTTCCGCTCATGGAGAATGCATATTCCTAATTTGACAGTTTCTCACCCTAAGTAGACTGAGATTGTATTAACTTTCGGCGGTCGTTTTATGGGCTCGTTTAAATAGGAATAGTACCTGTTGATCGTAAAGTCCATTTTTAATAGTAATAATATGAGTTCTTACACAAGGTTAAACTTCAGTGTCAACCGACTTTATTCTACAATTCAGATTTTCTTGAAAAAATCTAGGTGAAAGATACTGATGTATAACAAGATATGTGAATGTTAGAAAGATTATCCGTTTGGTTATTTCTGAAAAAATGTTTTAATTTAACATTGCTTTCAATGGGAAATCAA